TTGCCATGGTTGTTCTGGGACAGGAAGAGGCTGCAGTAGTCCCGCCTTTTTCTGCTTGCTGCTCTTCATCCGCTGACATGTATCACACGAGGTGACGAATTTCTGGACGTCGTCTGCCATATGGGGCCAGTAGTAGTGTTTGGCGATACCGGTGAGCGTCTTGTTGCTACCGAAGTGTCCGGCGTACAGGACGTCGTGGTATTCTTCGAGTAGTAACTGGCGCAAAGGAGGGTAATTGGGTACCCAGATTTTTGTTGATCCTTTCCGGTACGCGATGTCACTGTCCCACTGTAGCAGATGTCGCTTTTCTGCCAAGGGAATTTCGGGGTCGATGGCGTACCCGTGGGTGAAGAGTCCCTTGAGTAGTGGATTCATCCCTTCGACCTGAATCGCGGCAACGTGTGCAGGCCGGCTGAGAGCGTCTGCTTTGTTCTTGTGGCCGGGCTTGTACACGATGTCGTAGTGGAAGTGTGTCTCGAGGAAGTCGATCCACCGGACCTGCCGCCTGGAAAGGTTGGGTTGTGTCTTCAAATATTTCAGGCTGCAGTGGTCGGTGTAGACGGTCGTTCTTCGTCCTTCGAGATAGCATCTCCACGCTTTGAAGGCGATGACGATAGCAAGAGCCTCTTTGTCGTGTATCGGGTAGTTGAGTTCTGCCCCGTGCAGTTTCTTGCTGAGGTAGGCAATTGGTTGCAGTCCATTCCCCTGGTCTTGCATTAAGACTGCTCCCACTGCCTGGTCGCTGGCGTCAGCTTCTCGATTACGTAGTCGCGTTCGGGATCTGGCAAGATGAGCACCGGTGCGGACGTTAGTGCTTGTTTCAGCTGCTCCACGGCTTCCTGGTGCTTCGTCTCCCATTTGTAGGGCGTGTTCTTCTTCAGCAGATTCGTGAGTGGTGCGCGAGTTTCGCATACTGTGGCACGAACCTGTTGTAGTAATTAGCGAAGCCTAGGAACTGCTGCAACTCCTTCACGTTCTCGGGTGTCTTCCACGTACGTACGGCTTCGATTTTCTTGGGGTCGACGTGAACTCCTTGAGCGCTCACCAGTGGTCCTAGAAATTGGACCTTTCTCCAGGGCGAATTCGCTCTTGGACAGTTTGACGTAGAATCGTTCTCGTCGAAGAATTTCGAAGACGCGTCGCAGGTGTTCGACGTGCTGCTTCATGTCGCGCGAGTAGATGAGTATGTCGTCCAGGTACACCACCACGCATTCGTCCAGAAGTGGTCGTAGAATGTGGTTCATTTCGGCTTGGAACGTTGCCGGTGCGTTGGTGAGTCCGAACGGCATGACCAAATACTCGTACGATCCGTACCGAGTTCGAAAAAGCAGTTTTGTGGGATAGAGTTGTCCGCCATCCGTATCTGCCAGTATCCGGACCGCAGATCCAGTTTGGAAAATACCGTAGCTCCCCGAAGCTGGTCAAGCAGGTCATCGATTCGCGGTATCGGATATTTATTCTTGATGGTCTGCTTGTTAAGAGCTCGGTAGTCGATGCACATGCGCAGGCTTCCGTCCGGTTTCGGTGTGAAGAGTACTGGGGCACCGTATGGCGAAGTAGATGGTCGGATGAGTCCTTTGGCTAGGAGATACTCGATCTGCTTCTTCATGTCGGTCAGCTCCGTAGGGCTGAGTCGATATGGTGTTCGGAAGGTCGGCTTCGAACCCGGTTCCTCCACGATCTCGTGTTGATGCGTTCGGTATGGCGGTAGCTCGTCCGGAAGATCGTCAGGAAGAATGTCTTGGAACTCCTTCAGTAATTCCTTGATTTTTTCTGGAGTTTCCGAGGCTTTCTCTCCGTCATTCTCCACCTCTGTTGCTATCGCCAGGAACCCGGTGTCGGTCCGCTTCACGTCCTTCTCGAATCGTGCGAGTGTCTCCACTGGGATATCTCCAGTGTCGTCCCAGTTGGGTAGCTGTACTCTCCGTCCATTGTTGTAGATGCTTGCGGTGCGGTTTACCCAGTTGATCTCGGGGGTTGAATCTTTTCAGGAAGTCTCGCCCGAAGATCAAGTCAAGCCCTTTGATGTTGGTGATGGGGAGTGCAGGTCTCCAGCGCAGTGGTCCGATTTGTAGATGTAGCACTGCTTCGCCGTGTACTGGTAACTTGCTGCCGTCCACCATCGTTGCAGAGAATCCTGAAGGCTTGTTACTCTTCCCGGAGTCGGTCGATCATTGCCTTGTCGCAGACGGTGTGTGACGCTCCGCTGTCCACGAGTGCTTGGAGGCGTCGTCCTTTGCAGATGACCTCGAGCACGAGGGGCAGTCGTTGCTCGGAGTACCCAAAGATAGTTTCATTGATTGGGTCATAGGGCACATCCCAATATTCCGTACACACCTTGGTGTTGTTGTCTACTCCTGAGCTGGCAGCTGGCCGAGGCTGCTTGGAGAACGGCTCTTCTCCAGGGCCCGGAGTTTCCTTGACAACTGTGCGCGTCACTGATGCCGAAGAACTGGATGCATCCGTAGAAGGAGTTCGGGGTTTGTGCAGCTTCTTGTAGACCCCCAGCTTCCTCTTGAGCTGCTTCAGCTCCACCGACGTCTTCCCTGGGGAGCGGGTAGTCGTTGTGGGCTGGTGTCGGGAGAGGACGTTGACTCCGTGGAAAGGTCGGCTTCTTTCCACACTCCTTAATTTGGTCCCCAAGTTGTCCGGTACCGGTATAATCTCCACAGCTGTCTGCTTCTTTTGGAGTCCCTCCCGAATTTTCTCCAAGGCTCTAGCCCCTCGAACATCATAAGTTTTCATTAAAGCATCTTTATAAGATAACTTTAACGAATTCTTATAATTTCTTGGGTCTTCAAGGAGTTTCCCCGTCTCGGCAGAGTCTTTTTTCGCGGAGTCGTAATTTTCCTCGGCGATTTTCCCTGGCGAAGACTGGTCGTGGGGTGGAGATTTTCCCCCATCATTTCCTCCTGCTCGCGTCGAATCAGCTTCGTCGAAGTTGATTTTCTCGGAATCCCGCGGCCGTTTCCGGATCTTTTTATTTTCGCCAGCTAGATCCGCAATCACTGGCGACTCCCGTTTTTTGTCTTCTGATTGGCCGGAAGATTTCCGCCACTGTTGCGTGCCCGATACTCTGCGCGTGCGGCCTTCATTTTGTTGCAGTCGAAGATTCGGTGGCCCGGCACCCCGCAAAAATCACACGTGTAGTTGGTATTTTTCGGACGTGGCCGCCCCTCGAATCTGTCGACTTCCATCGGGTCGGCGAACGTGGGGTGAGCCGAGCGGTCGCCATGTCGCGTACTGCGACGTGCGTCCGTCGTGTTCCGGCGTTGACCATGTCGAAGCGCTCCGCTGCCGAAACGACGTCACTGTAGTTCGCGTAGTTTGACGCTGCGACTTGTCGTTTGACTTCAGTCTTCAGCCCTGCGAGGTACGATTGCACTTTTTCCCCTTCGGTCAGGTCGGGAATTCTGTTATAAAATTCTTCCATCTGCTGCGTGTACTGTGCTACACTCCCGAACTGTCGATGGCGATGAATTTTTTCGCGGGCAAGGAAACCTGAATTTATCGGTTCGAAGCGTTTTAGCAGGTCGGCGCGGAACTGCTGCCACGTGGCTTCACCGTGGATGAAGGTGCTGTTGCCGCCAATCCACTCGAGTGCCGGCCTCGCATTAGTGTCGCCGCGAGTCGTACGCGTTGACCGTCCCAGACTGGCGAGCTCCATCCGACGGCTGCGAAGTAGATCTCCATCCCGACGATCCATCTGCGGGCGTCGGAGTTTCGATCGCTCGGATCGAACGGCTCAGGTGGGCGCGGTTTCGGAGCCTCGAGAAACTGCTGCGACTGCTGCGTCGTCGCCGTTGTCGTCTCGTGCTGCGCTCCGGCGAGTCGAGTTACTCGCTCGAACTGGTTTCGCCACGCTTCGCGATCCGCTCGCATTTCCTCCTGAAGGGCTGCGATTCGCGCGAAGAGCTGCTGGGTAACCTCGGCGTTGTCGAAGGTTGCCATCCTGTTCAAAACACGCACGGAGGGGGTAATTCGAAAATCGCGGAGCTGGTGCTTACCAGAATCGGCGTCGAATTGGTCGCCCCCGGCGGTTTTTCGAGGCAGGATCCCCGCTGCTGCTGCTTAGCTGAGCGCGGCCGAGTGAGAAAAGCTCTGATTACCAAGTGTCACAGGATCGAATGTGTCGAGGAAAGGTTGCACTATCGATCGGTACAAGGCGCTTTTATACTTCCAGAATACATCAGGTAACCAGGTTTATCTTATCCTAAGGGAATAGACCCTTCTAGAAGATAGAATCACCCTGCGTATAGCCACGCGAGGCTATTGGCTTTAAGGGATTACAGCAGGATTACGCTAGATAGCGTGTCTAGAACATTCCATGCCTGGTCGGTGATATAATAATAATAAAGGAAGAAACCAAAGGATAATGGAAAATGGGGAATATGAGGCAAAAGGAGGTGAGATAAAAAGAGGAATGAAATGAAGATGAAATATGGAAAAGGCCAAGTGGTGTAACGGAGTCGTACTCTCACAATGCGAGATCTGGGCGAGTGCAAGTCATCAGGTACATGAGGCAACCCACCAGCTCTGCGTAGGGGCCGCTGGGCTCTACCAACTCCTCAGACACTGGAGCGGAGAGTCTGTGGTCTACAGGCAGAGGGGTGGGCTGTGCAGAGGAGAACTGAAGGCTGAACCTCTGAAGGACCTGGCGCACCAAGTGTGACTGAGTCAGGGTGATGGTGCGCGCAGCTCTGTCCCTGGATATCTGCAAGCCAAGGTAACGGCGCAGTTCTCCAAGGTCAGTGCACGTGTGTCTCTTCAGCAGCTCTGCCTTCACGGAGGCCAGTGCGTCCCTGTCTGCTGTGGCAAAGACCAGGTCGTCGACGTAAACAAGGATGTAGAACGGAGTCTGGCCAGCACGAACAAAGAGTGAAGGGTCTGCGGAAGACGGAAAGAACTGCAGGTCAGCAAGCGTAGCACGGAGAGTGTCGTGCCACTCACGGGGAGCCTGGCGCAGGCCGTAGACGGGGCGCTGCAGGAGCCACTGGCTCCCAGGAGGGAAGGTTACGGAGCCCAGGAGGGGCGCGACGGGGCGCGACGGGGCCCAGGAGGGCGCTACAGGGCCCAGGAAGGGCGCGACGGGGCCCAGGAGGGGCGCGACGGGGCTAGGGGGGTCGCGACGGGGCTAGGGGCACGACGGGGCTAGGGGGGGGCGAGCGGAAGCGGTAGTTGGGGGGGGATCCTAACCTACGCGTGATACCATATCAAATTAGAGAAGTGAATCATGATAGAGTGAGAGTACACACAGATATACCTAAGTTTTGTACCCTCTAAGAGGCGACCCTATACAGTCTATACAAACATGACAAATACACATGTTTGACAGGACGGGGGGGGGGGGGGGGGATGTCAAGATTATATAAGTTATATATAATTGATAGGCTTGATAGTTGTTACTGAACCTTTCTGTAGAGGGCACAATCCCCTCCTTGTACTCCTCTCTCTTCCTAATCGACAACTTCTCTCTCGACACTCTCGCCTACCTTCTAGCTAAACCCCGCCGCCATTTTCATGGCGGCCTTCTTAGCTTCCTAGTGGCTGCCTACCTACGTTCCTTCATCCTAGCTACCTAGCTAGTGTCCTAAGCTTCTTTGAGAGAGGGGTGGGGGCGACATAGGTTGGCATACGGGCGGCCGGTCTAGCGGCGCCACAGGCGTCGCGCGGCCGGCTGCAGCCCGACGACGCCGTCACAGAGCGGCGTCGACGCCGCGGCGGGACGTCGACGCTGCGACGGCAGCACGACGGCCCGACACCACGGCAGCGCGTCGAGACGGCCGCGGCACGACGCGGCAAGCGGCATCACGACACCGCCACTGCAGCAAAACGCGGCCGCCATGGCCACGCGAGCGAACGAGGGTGAGGAGTACGCGGCGTAAGCGTGAGGAGGCGGTCCAGCAGGGAGGACCTCCTGCT